TATATATATATATATGTTACAGGCCCCAGGCAGTCGGGAAGACTATAAGCAGTAATCAACCTGAGATTAAATGAGAGAGAGAGACAAGAGTTAGTTGTTTCCTTAACGGTCCTCTTTGTTGTCTTTTAATACGCATACACAATTGTATTTCAGAGTCAGTAAGACACTTTGAATCACAAAATGATTCATAAACATGTTGGAAAATAATAATACACACTGTATAGATACTTAAATCAAATCACAATAAATAAATAATGATGATAGCAACCTTATCCAAATGTACAGAAATGCCCTAATTCTTACTCACAACTGCCCTGAATTCAGGTAAACAACTCGAGTGAGTATTTCAGGTAAGTGATACATGAGTAAACGTTTCTATGACATACTGTAAGTGTCTTAAAATTATTCAACTGAACAAATAATCAATTGAAACTAATTATTTGGACATTAAAACATGTAAATTACAGTTTGGTATGACATTTTATTAATTTAACTAACCTTGAGATTAAATGAGAGAGAAAGGGAGAGACAAGAGTTAGTTGTTTCTTTAACGGTCCTCTTTGGTGTCTGAGGATGCTGCAATCGTCACGGTAACGCTACTCTCTGAACTGCCAGCCAGAATTCAGAAAATGCAGCTGAACTATTCAGTGCAAACTCATCATATAAGGAATTAAAATAAAACGTAAATAGAAATGAACATATGTAAATAAAAAATGAAATATATACAAATAATTTAATTTGTGACCCAATCTATATGTAGGATAGCAAGACTATCATAAAAAACAAAATAATTTAAATAAACAATTAATTTATTTTCTTTTCTTCATTTATTAAAAAATATAATAAATTCATTAAAATAATACATTATTATTTATTTTATTAAAAATAGTGTCATTTATTATTAAGTAAATATTTAATTAATATTTTTAATGCCATGGCAACAGCAAGACTATTCTTAAAAAAAAATTAATAATTAAAATAAGTTATTTACTTTACTAAAATAAATTCAAAATTATTTATTTTAATAAATTAATAAAAAACATTTACGCTATGTCAGCAGCATGGCTGGTCTTCATGTGAGAACCAAGTGAATAGCAAAAGTCTAAAATTAACAAAATTCACCAAAAGCAATATAATAAAATTCTACAATACATTCAGGCGATACTTTTTTTAATCTATTGTCTATTTTTTAGGGCTGGGCAAGTTAACACGTTATTATCGCATTAACACATTAATTCATTACTAATGTCTAATGTCTCCATCTCTCACTTGTTTTCTATCATCAGACAGGATGAGATCAGGATGAGCTGTATCAGGATCCAGAGTCACATCCACTGAGAAAAGAAGAGAAACTGAATCACAACTTCACAATACACAGATATTCTGTGGCAATGTTTTCAATATTTAATCCAGTTTTTAATAGTGCAGTTATGAAGCTGTGAGTGTATGAATGTAAACTAGTGTAGTGCAGACCGCACACTGTACCTGCATACTGCTGCATCACCTTCAGCTCTGTAGAGACTAATGACAAGAAAATATCATCAGATCTTAATGTTATATTTAAATAATTGTGTACATCATCATGTTTCTATCTGATTAATGTATGTATTGATGTACCAGTTAGTGTGAGTTTCTCATCTATAGTGTCCTTCAGTTGAGTCAGAGCTCTCCTCAGAGTCTCCAGACTCTCATGAGTCTTCATACTGATCTCAGGCCAGTTCCTGCTGTTTCTAGGGCTGCACAGGGATGAGTGAATCTACAGCAGGAGAGAGGAGAAATCCTTCAGCATGGGGAGTGTTCTGGTGTTATATCCTGCATTATCATTGATCAGAGAGATCATGTTGACTGACCTGTAGGAGGTGGAGGTTATCTTCAGTGTGTGAGAGCTGCTCCAGCTCAGTGTTTCTCATCTTTAGCTCAGTGATCTCCTGCTCCAGCTCTTCAATCAGCTCTTGCTCCTGTTTCTCTGCTGCTTTCTGCTGCTCCTCCATCATCTCCAGCAGTTCAGTCTGACGTCTCTCAATGGAGCGGATGAGATCAGTGAAGAGCTCGACA